CAGTTAAAAATTCTAAAACAAGTTCGAAGATTAAGTTATCTTCATGGAGAGGTTATTATTGAATGGCGAGAAAAAAAAGATATTGATTCTAAAAAAAACATTTGTCAAGCAGGATTTATATATATTCATTTTTTTACAGCCAAGAAATATTTTCGAAATTGAGGTAGAAGTGTTCAAAAGTCTATTATTTTATAAAACTCTTTACTTTGTTATTCATTTTATTGATTTTTAAAAAATTTGACCCATTATTACATTACATGCGATATTACAAAGTTTAACGTTAGAAAATTAGAATAAGAGTTAGAATAAGGTTGTTAACTTATATGTAAATTTTTTAAATTGATCATGGCTGATTTAACTTACACGTATGTTATGTATATAAACTTATTAACATTAGAAGTCTTGAATTTCAAATTCACTATTGTACATACCTTTCTATTGAGTGCTAAAATATACTACCGCCCTAATTACACTTCTCAAATTCCTTCATTATTGTTTGTGATCTTAATAGTGACGATCTGAAGGTATTTAAGCTTTTTGCTATTTTATACATATATTTCGAAATTGTTATCCAGTTATGTAAATTGATTAAAACTTTCTCACGAACTGAATAGTAAACAATATCCTAAATTCTATACGCCTAGGCAAATTCAGAAATACTTAGATTGGTACACAATTACATCATTGGTGCCAACAAAGATAAATATAAAGCATATATTTATTGCCAAAAATATACTAATATGACGCTAGTGAAATAAGCAGCCTTGGGTATTATTATCAAATTGGAGTTGAAGTCGAAATGAATAAATAATGAAATTTATATTCATTAAACTGTAAAAATGGACAATTCACTTGTAATATTTTAACTTGGATAATTATTATGTTGGCGATAATTGGTAGGCAATTATATCTTTTTCTTCTGTGTAATATACAGTCAGACCTCTCCAAATGCAATGCAACAGGGCCATATGTAAAAATTTAGCCAAACATGCACTTAGAAAGATATTGCATTTAGGGAGGTAAAAATCTATAGCCGTAATATGAGTTGGGTTCAAGAGAAGACATTGCATTTAGGGTGACTTTTCATAAACATGCACTTAGAGAGGTTGCATTTAGGGGCCTAAATGTATAAAAATTGTAATAAGAGTTGCCCGGTTAGCCTGTATAAGCTCTGTTAATCAGATCATGGAAATTGCTACGTACTTGAGTGACTCATATTAATTTAGAATATTTTTTAGTGGATAAGTGTAAAAAAATTCGAAATATGGAAGACAACACATCTGAAACATGGTATTGGACATATGATTCTGATATGATAATTCAAGAATGTACAAGTAGAAATGCGGATATTGATTATCGCATTAAAGAATTGAATGGATTTCATATGATAGACTAAGGAAAATTTAGGCCATATTTTCTGCAAACTGGTTAGATAATATATGAAATTTTGATGTAATTAATTTTAGGCAAGGTATGACGAAATTTCTTCTGAAAAATGTAATAGGTTACACAACAAATCTAGTATCGTTATATTCAAGGCGTCTGGTTCTTAGAAAAACTCTTCTGATTTTTAGAAAGAAGTAAGCTGATCGTTATTTATTATGCAATTTATAATGTACATATTAAACTAATTCATTGTATAAATTTTATAAAGTTTAAAAATTATTTGATATGTATAACGTGGTAACAAGCTTAAGATAATGGATTAACTTACAATATAAAGACAAATGGTGAATACTTCAATATGTTGATAAGTGAAGTTTTTGGGACAATTTCGAAACCTTAGCTGGAAGATTAATATCATAAATACGACCATTTGAATCATTTTTTTCATCTTGTTTTTTAGACGATCCTATACCTGAAATATAAGACTACATGCTTCACTAATGTCTCTGTTCTGCAAAATATCATAACTATGAAAGTCCACATGAATATATTCTGCAAAATGAATTGGTCTTAATTTTTCTGAAATATCTTCTACTTTAAGTTTAGGGTTTGAGTTTAGCAAGGCATATTTATATCAAAACTTTTTTATCTTATATTGCACCCAAAGTTTTGTCGGTAAAGATTTTGCAAAAGTTGCTTGATATTTATGGCTTTGGAGTCATTCAGAGACCCCAGCCTGGCGAAGACTTTCTACTGATTATCAATTTTAATTGAATCAATTCAAACTTATATATATGCTATCCGGTAGCATGCCTATAATAGGTTACTTGTGTGATCTCTACTCCGGCTGAACTGACCCAGCTACTAAATTTCTATGTCCATAGGTAGCGAATTAAAAGAACTTATTTGATCATATTTATGAACATTTACTAATCAAGGTATTTGGAATTAGTGTTATCGCTGGAAGCCTACTAGAAACCCACTAGAAACCACTGGAAGCTTACTGAAAGTAAAATTGATAGTGTCACTGAAACGTTTACACCACTGGAAGGCCAAAAATTTCTCACCAGAATGAAAATTAACAACACTGATTTAGATCACAAAAATTTATTTTTGCACTGTATTACATTGATTTAGTAGGTGAATATTAATTAATCAAAACAATTAAGTGTATGCTATTTACGACATTGCAGAATCTCATTTACATTTATTTCGTGTACGAGTATTTATTAATCAAAATATTTAATAATCTATTCAGGTTCATTTAATTTGTGCTAATCTAGTAAGTGAATTTTAATTGAAACATAGAATAAACTATTTAAGATTACTATTGCAATAATACTTATTCACATTTTATTTAAGTAGTGAATATTTATTAATCTGAATGTTTGGAATATATTATTTAGGTTTATGAAAATTTATGTTACATGGTATTCTTTACCTAATTGTTGAATATTTATTAATCGAAGCATTTAGAATAAGATACTTAAGTTCATGAAGATTATTGCATAATACCTCATTACATTTATTTAGTAGTTGTACAGGTCTTATGTAACAACCTGTGCTTTTTTCACTCATTTATTGGCACTCGTTTAAAAAATAACTAAATCGGAACACTTTCATATTTGATAAAAATATGAAAGTGTCACCTATTTTATGTTTATTATTAAAGTATTTGCCTTCACATTTTTAAAAACGTTGGGACATTTGCGTCATTAGGTTTTTTTTAAATTTTTATTAGATAGTGTCAGCATTAATTTGTTTTCTCTTTTTTAAAATTGTCTTGGATAGATCAGTTAGGTATGATTAAGGACTTTGTTTCTTTAAATTCTTATTAGATAGAATTGCATATTACTGGATTTTTGTTTTTTTTAAAAAAAAATTTTATTGGACAAGTTATACATTATTAAATATTTGCTTTTAGATCTCTTTCTTTAAAATTCTTTATTTATTGGATTTTTGTCTTTTTTTTAAAAAAAAAAATTTATATTAGACAAATTATACATTATTAGATCTTTGCCTTTGATCTTTGAAATTTACTATGTTCTGTCTGTATACTTTAACTAAGAGGATTTTTGATAATATTGAAAGTGTAATTATTTACTCTAAAGACAGAATTCCAATTAATTAAAATATATATCTATCTTTACTAATCAATACAATGGTAATTTTCATAAATGTAATTAGCTTATTCCTAAATATTCATATTCATTTACTAGATATAATTAATGAATATAATTTGTTCGAAATAAAGTTCACTCATTAATACAATAGCTTAAGATAAACTTTGTATATCTTAATTTGCATGATATTTATCTATTGAATATAAATTTTTTGACGTTTGGATGATAAACAGGAAATATCATTATAAGAAAAATATAGATTCCTGTTTTTGTAGTTAAGAAGATCTTTAATTGCTGCTTTTTCATCTTTATTTTTCTCTCCATCTTTCAAGGTTTTACAAAAAAAGTAGGAGACTTGTTGGTGATTCTTCTTTTCAACAGCGCTACAAGAAAAGGCTTTTAATCCCCAATGTCTGTGTATTTGCATCATTTCAGCTACATGATAAATTAAAACGTGTATGTAAGGTGTAATGTCGCTTGGTAAATATAACCCTGAAATTACTTCTTCATTTGATTCCCAATTTCCACTAGAAGGTGTTAAAAACAAAATTAACCATTTTTTTGCAGCCTTTTCGAATACATTTGAATCAGTAGAATTATCTCGTAAACTATCATAAAGTTGTGAAAATTTGTCCCATAAATTTCTAATTTTAGCTGCTCGTGAAGGTATAAAAAGTAAATTAAGATTAAAGTTTTTTAAAACTTTTATCTTATCTTCTCCCATCAATGAGGTATAGTTCCAGCTTTTTGATCCTCGTTCTTTCCAAAATTGAAATTGAACTGAAATACATTTTATTTCCTCTATTATTACCTTATGAGTAAATTCATCAAAAAGATCATCATTTTGCAATTCATTTAATATTAAACACCAAAGACAGTTAGTTATTCTTAGCATAGTATGGAGTTTGTCAATTACCCAATTTTCTAATGGAATCATATTAAAAAGTGGAAGATTTTTGTGACTATTATAGATAGTAAAATCGGTATTTAATTGGTCCATTGATTTGCTAATTGTCCATTGTGCATCTAAATCTTCTCTATTATCTTTATTCGTATTACACCAAGGACAATAGTAATAACAGTTGGCTCCATTAAAACCCAAACAAATACATAAAAATTTCCAATCCGCAGAGAAATAAAAATTAACATTCCAAGTAATATTATTAATTTTTATTCCTAATTCTTTTAATTCATGCAATTCATTTAAAAATAATGACATCGCATTTTTTAAAGAATCATAATTTTCACTTTCGGGATATAATACTACAACATAATAATGGTTTGGAAAATAAAGATTTGTTTTATCATCAAGAATTGCACATGTTACTATCACATGTTTGATCTTTCTTCTAACATTTCTTCCATTACCTGATATTCGAAGATTAATACTTGGATTTGTTGAATTTAAGATATTTTGATTAATTAAAAAGGGCATTATATAATTTAAAATATCTTTAATACTACGATATCCTGCTTTTCGAATTGCATTCGTTACTTGTTCTATTATATCTGAATCATCTATATCTGGTTGTTCATTTTCTGGTAAATTGACTTCAAATCCTGTCTTTATATTAATCAACTTGATTGGAATTAATTTTTGCATTTCATCATCAATTTGAATTTTTGTATTCGATACAATATATTCTTGTTGTAAGTTATATTCCAAGGCTGTTAAATTTCTATAAGCCTCTCGAAATATTAAATTTTGATCCATTACTTGTACAAAAGACATTGCATGTTGTTTTTGATTTTCCTTATTTTGATTATTAAATTCAATCGTATAAAAATTTGTATCAACAGAATATTGAAGTGATTCTAAATTAGGAATATCTAATTGATTATAATGTTCATTATTACAGGTTTGAAAATTATTATAAATTTGTGTTGCAAACTTTTGAGCCCGTTTAGTAAGTGTAGATGAACTTGCTTCACTAACTAACTTTAAACTATTATATTGTTTTTTTTTTTCATGATTTTTTTTAACACAATTTAATTGCAATCCAAATAAAAGAACACCTGAAGTTCGAGTTGATTTTTGAGTAGTAACCTTCTAAATAATATTATAAATTAATTTAGTATTATATACTATATATAAAATAAATATATTTAAATTTTACTTACATTGTGAAATAAAGTTGTCGCATCACTTGTACTTTTTTCTGAGATTACTTGATGTTTAAAACTATCACCAAAATATATAGAGAATATGGGTTTATTATCAATATAATTAATTGTACATTTTACAGTTTGTTGGTTTTGACTTCTACCCCAAGTTGTTTCAATTTCATATTTATCAGGTATTTTATAATGCTGAGCAAATATATATTTATATTTAAGGGGATAAATTCCTTCTTTGATTATTGTATAATGAAAACTTCTATTTTTTTCTTTGTAATAAATGTTTGGTTCATAAGGATATTTGTGAAGTTCTGCCATTTAGAAGGTTAAAATTTGTTTAATACGTGTATATAAAAAATATATATTTACTAAAATACAAATAACGAATTTGAAAATACTTTAAAAAAAAGTTATCTTGGTGCTACCTGAGTGGTAAATAATTAACTAACTGACTGACTCTAACCTAATAGTGAATGCATTATCAAATTACTATTTAATTTGAATAAGGTAGTATACTAATCTGAGTAATACAAAGACTTTTATTAAATACGTTAAAATAATAAATTCACTAATATAATTGGTTGATCTAGCTGTCAAATGAGTGACGCACTATATATTCAAATTTAGGATCATTATAAATTTTAGATATTCCACAAATTCGCGTATATGGTTAAAAATTTTGTAAAGATATATTAATAGTAATATTAATATAAAATTTTAAATTTAAAATATAGAAGTATTTGTATATTTGGTTTAATTAATATAAAAAAATATATATAAATATATTGGTTTAAGTTTTAAATTTTTAAAGAATTTTTAGTGATCAATGGTTTGATATTGATTAAAAAGAAAGAGATAAAGTTTAGCTAAATTAATAATAATTTGAAATCATTTTTTAATAGAGTAAGAAGAAATAAAAAGATTGAAGTTAAGGTTAATAAGGTTGATCTTTAGTATAGGTGGGCATATATAATTATTAAACAATTATAATATATATAACTTAACTATTTTGATCTAA